CTCCGTAAAGCTATTCAAACAAAATTTTCTGTCACGATTTTTGTAAAATACTCAAGCACAGCTGCATAATAACGAAAATTCGATCGCATTACTGAAGTTTCCGAGTACGGTTACTGTTCATTATCAGATACCACCAGCAGGTCCCCGTTATTTAGCATGCACTGGGCAGCAGTTTCGAGGTTCTAATTATATGTCACGGACGTTATTACACGTAGATTCCATTCAATTAGGTGAATATATTTCACGGGTCTTCGTGGTATTATTTTACCATCGACAATGTTGCTTTCAAGAATCGAACAAAATAAACGAAATCTGCGCGGGGTTTCGTTTATCCTTTAATCTGAACGTCGAATGTAAATACTTGTTCTCTCAAATTCACACAAATAAATCGCGATGTGACAATATTTTTAATACACATTCACAATAAATTTTTCAAAAGTTTGCTTTCACACATCCAATGAAAAATAGTATTCAAAGTAGCGTAAAAGGAAAGTATCCACTGCATCAATGTTCACATATGGAATTTTTAAATTCCATCTAAAATCCTCCTGAACTATTCCACAATTTTTGTTTTTCCACGTTTACATTTTCACCAGACAACAGTGCACCGTACAATTTGCAAAATCTACTTCCAGGTACTACAAGTGAGAAGAGTCGGATGTTGCATCAACATCGTCGCTCTCGAAAACTTTGTGAAAATGGTTAGTTAAAAGGGGAACGAAAAAATCAGTGGAAAAATCAGAATTTTCAATATTTTCAACTCTTCACTGGAGGAATCCTGGAATATTTCGTATTTCCAATTACACAAATAGTCCTTGTTTAACAGGAAAATTCGCAATTTGCCACATGATCCGCGACTGTTATCAAAAAACAAAAGTTTCTTCAAATAAATAAAATTATTCTCCGATTTATCCTTCGAATACGATAAAATTTTCACCTTTCCGCAATTAATCGCTACAAAGTAATTCTTTCATTGGCATTTAAATTTTTTGCGAAAAACTAAAAATTAAGAAAACGCTAAATTTAGAATTGCGGAATACAATAAAAGTTTCACCTTTCCGCTATTAATCGCTATAAAGTATTACAACTTTTCCATAAATATTAAAATTTTCAGAAAGGCTGAAAATGAAGAAATTCAGAAATGCAGAATATTCGACGTCCCTCGAACAAACGATCAAAGACGAATTCTTTCGATTTCGTCGGTAAAGGTGTAACTCCGCGATTCCATATTTCAGCGAAATTAAACGTTAGATGTATTTTACGTCCCTGGCTCGTTCCATTTCACTAATTTCCTTGCCAATCTGAGACGCGCTGGTGAACGGATTCAACGGCGTTCGCAATATTAGCAAAATTCCTGACTGCGCTCGTCGATCGATCGTTTCCCGCGTTGAAATCTCTTAATTGCGCGTTTCGCAGAACTACGCGCGAATATCGACCTTTACCTCGGAACGTTTCTCTAGCGACGGCGACCTTTATTTAATTAGGACCGGGTAGCAATTCCTCCGTCGTTGAACGTTCGGTGGACCCGCTTTCAACAGGTAACCGCTTGAAATCCTGCGGTAATTTCGTAAACGAGTTTGCACTTTCTGTTTCATATTTCGATACACTTTGGAATTCGGCATTTTCGAATCTATCGAAGATACTCTTTTTAATTGGATCGACGATAATAACGCTGGATTAAAAAAGTAATTAGCAGGATGAATTTTATTATCAGTTTTCGAGACGAGGTGAAATTTCATTTTTCACTCTCTGTTCACCTGGCTTGACGTTTCATTTAGCTGATTGTGCGAGGTAGCCGTTGAACGCGACGCAGCGGAAGCAGAAATACGGTTCGTAGTGACGAATCAAACGAACAATAATTTTCGTGGAATATATTATTCCCTGATTTTTATATCGACGAATCAGACCAAGTCAATTGTATCGTATTATGCGATTTGTTTAATTGTGATCGTTGATATTTAATACGCGTGGAAGAGTAAAGATTGTTTAACATAATCGTACTGAAACGCTGTTGTTCGAACGACAAATTCTTCGATAAATTTCCATAGAAATATTTCAGTTTGTTTCGTAGTGTTTTTAATCGACGAGTGAAATCTAGTGTAACATCAGAAATTCAGGATCTAAAGATAGATCTATCGTAAGTTCTCCTGAATTCACGCTGTCGTTTCAAGGCAGTTTCGGATCTACTCTGTAATTAAGTCAGCGTTACACTTATCTGACGAGCGGTTCGCGCGATTCGTTTAATTTCAGAATGTCCATTCGTCACGGACGTTCGCAATTCAATTTGCGAATTGCTGACTGTCTCGAATATTGTTCCGTTGATACGTTTCAGGCGTATTTTTAGGCGTGTGTTACGAACGAAGCAGGAAACGAAATCGCTGAGCCTTCACCATCGCTACACACGCACGCCTAACCCTTTCCTCTGCGGAAATTACTTTCTTTTATTCTCCGTTGCCTTCCACGACGACTTTTGAAAATTGTAGCAGTAATAAATTTTCAAAATTATAGTAATACACAGGCTTAATTGTTTACAATATTATCTAAAGTATGGAAATAATTTTTTAACATTTCTTCTCTCTTTTCAAATTTAAAAAAATTAAAATTTACTTAGGATTGAACGTGTCCTTTGAGGATTTATTTTTTTTTACTCTACGGCGCATTTGGAAACTGTATCTTCTTATCGAAATAATCTTGCAACATTTTTTTGACCTCTTCTTAAATTTAAAAGGATGAAAATTTGTCCAAGTTTGAATATTTCGAGTATTTCTTTTTCTATTCTATGTCACATTTGAGAACTAGATTTCCTCGCTGTTTTCTTTACCTTTTTTCTCGGTACGAGTCTTAAATTTTACATGTAACCGCATACGTAGAGCGTAGAAATGGCAGACATTTCGAGATCGAGACTCAAGAAGTAGGAATTTATCTGGATGACTTTAAGTGATTGGAACAGTAGTTTGCCAACAAGAGGGATTTAGACGAAATATAAAGAGTACACGAATCTAGCATCGGTAGAAATGTAGAAGATCGAGGATCTAATAAAATCTGGAAATTTGTCGACACATACAAGAAAACACAAATTCGAGTATGCTCACAACTCACAACATAATACAATACCCACTTGATTCAATATCGAGATATAGAAAATCGAGGCTCTATCTCTCTTATTTTCTCCGGCGATTTGTGTCGGTTTCCTTGAATTTTCTTCGCAGCATCGAACACACTCGAATGGTCGTGACCCAAAAAATCTGCGCCGGGAATCGTGTATTTTTATCATTCCATTTATTTACAAATAAACGGATGAACGAATTCCGTTCCCGCTCGATAAACTAATAACCTCATGAATATTTAATGGTATTTCAGGCTTGAAACGTAAACGAGAAGCTTCGTATTTATTTACTCATACCACCTGTACCCCTTACTTCTCTCGTTCTTCTTCCTTTTTTTTTTTCGTTTTTTTTTCATTACGAACTGTAAAACAATGCACGTACTATCGGTTTCGATAACTTTTCGCAGGAATCGATATTAGTGTTTCATCGAATACCTGAAATTCTTCTTAATCGTCGCTGGTGAACGTTGAAATTTCAACGATTTCATTGTTATTTATGGGAACAGTAATTGTTTTACTGTATTTGAACAATTCGTATAGTGAGAAATATGAGAATATTTTTATTTAAAAATTTAAGGTTCTGCGAAGAAATATATAGGAATCGATGTTCTGTAATTTATACAACGCACGCTACTTTGTAATCTTGCTCTCCATTGTACGGAATTTAATTACTTACTTTTTTAATAAACGCGTTCTACGAACAAAGAAGATTCATTAGCACATATTTCTTTTGTCTCGTAAGAAAAAATGAACAACGAGTCTGTTGGAGATCTACAGGTGCTCGTGCACTGCCGATTCACAGGAATGCTAATTCATCAAATCTTTTTGTCCCTTTTGTGTAATTTAATTCACGCTTTTCAAACAGAAACCGACAGAGAATCGTTTAACTGTCTTCCGTTGTAAGAAACGAGAATGAAATCTCATTGTACCCTTCCGAATCGTACCAATACTTACTTCTTCGCCGTGCAATTTCATTCTTCCCATGTGAAACAGGTTTCTTTCTTCTCTCCAACCAACTTTCGATTATGTAATTCTGTGATTATTTCGTGTACTGTCAGAAATTAGAATAAAATTTATTTAAACGATACACAGCAAGGATTTTCAATTGTCACGAATTTACATATTGCAAATAAATCGGTTGAAAATTTCTTTTCTATAATTGAGACAAAATTTCCTTTTCTTATTTTTCAGTGAAATCAACTTCTACTGTAACTTCTTCACGATGACCGAAATTATTGTAAATTAAAGTAAATCATTTGAAAATTTCTTTTCACAGTCGAGACAAAATTTTCAGCGAATTCAATTTTCATATCAATTTCGTCCTAATGACCGAATTCTTTTCGTGTTACAGGCGTCGTCAACAGAGGCGATTCCTTCAGAAGAAGAAGATCAAGGTCGAACTCTCTGGCACCTGCGGATCCGGAAAGCGAGGAAAAGCGTGTCGCGCCCGCGAAAGACGTTACCTCGTACGCGGTGGCGATGCTGGGCGCAAGGGGTGTCGGAAAAACCGCCCTGATCAGCCAATTTATGACCAGCGAATGTATAAACGCGTACGACAGACAGAGAGGTAGGTAACACCGTGTTTCTTTTTTTTTCTTTTCGAAACTCGTGTCCGCTCCTCGTAAAGCACACGTGGCGTGTTCAACTGACGAAATCGAATACACACGGGAACTTGACGAAAACGGAACAAATTGCGTCAACGAAAACGAAAAGCAACCATGGTGAATTTTATGAAGTAGGATTTGAGCGATGAATATTTATAACTTCATTCGAGTCGTAGATTTTATTATTTATTTTTCGAGGATGGGTATAATTTTTCTTTACTTTCAGTGGAAAAATGTGGGAGTAAAATTGATTTATCGATGTGTAGGATTTATAAATTTATTAAAAATACGTTGACGTTGATAGTGTCGTACTGAGAGCCGATCTCTCGGTATTGTAAATCGAGAGTTTGTTTAAGCGTTGAGTGCGATACGGGACTACGTGAAGGCACTTGGGACATAGACCAGACGGCGGGTCATAAAAATGGGAAAATACCCATCGCCGGCGAAAACTATGCCTGCAGTCAGTCACAGTCGAAACATAGTACGATACACACCCTCTCCTTTAACCGTAGTTTTATATATCCTCGACCGCTCCGCCTTTTTGCTAAGCTTAAGATTCCTACAGATAGATACGTTAAATTTTTCATCGTTTAAAAGTATAGCACCTCAATTCGATTATGAAATTGTGGTATCGTGAAAATGGAACACGAAAAGTAACCAAACGAATTATTTATTGGAACATGTGTAACGCTGTATTGACGTTGACAGGTATTTTAAATTTTTCATCACCTGAAAGTACCTTAATTCGATTATGAAATTTTGGTATCGGGAAAGGAATTATTTATTAGAATCTCTGAATGTGTGTCCACATTTTTTGGATTTATATCGTTCGAATAACTTCAAATTCTAAATTTTCTGTCCGAAATATTAAATATCGCATTTTAAAGCGAAACTGACTTTTATTTCAATCTTCATTATTTTGTTCCTCTAAGCTGCTGATTCACAAATTACTTATATTTCTCAGCAAAAATTCTTCTCTAAAGGAGCAATTTTTGCTCGGAACTACACGACCCTAAATATCATTCACTATTTTCCATCAAACCGCAAATCATTACCGGAGTTTCCCCAATTTTCCACGAAATCCCCGGAACCATAAGAACATACCTAACCACTCTCCTTTCCAGAAATTATTTTCCTAGATAATACACCTCTCGCAGTATTCCTTTCTCCAAACCATCTTCATTTGTCCCGTAATTTCCTTCTGCTTCTCTGCTTCCATTTACCGTGGAATTCCACGGTTATCGATAACCATGCAGCCACTGTAAATGAGCCAACCGAGCTTTCACTCGGTTTACATTCCTGTAGCGCCGACTTGCCGCCGGAAAATGAGCAAAGAAAATCAAGTCTGGCTTCGAAACACTCAATCACCTTTCGTACAGTCCAAAACTGGCCCTGTCCGGCTATCGTTTGCTCCCAAATATGAAAAAGGACTATTCATTTAGAGGCGAAAGAAACGAAACCAGGGAATAAATTAATTAATTAAGAAATCTGAATTATTAACCCTTTAACGCTCATATTTTTCTCAATTTGATGTACCAAAGTTAATCAATTTTATTTTGTTTTTATTATTTTCTAAGCGTGTAGAAATAAATTTCTCATTATTTATAACACTCCAACTTAAATTTTTCCCATAATAGAAAGTATAACGCAATTTGGAAACTAAAGGAAAATAATTAAACAAAATTGCACTTATCGAAGGATTATTTATTCACGCGTGAGACACTAAACGAGCGTTAATGTGTTAATACATTTTTACAAGAGAATAAATAAATGGAAAACGTCAAGTCTGCGATTACAGCTCATTTTGTGGCGAAATAAGAGAAATATAATTTTACGCGGGAATAAATCAATTAATTCAAACGTCCGAGAAATATATTAAGGTTAAGGGTGAATCCATCGAGAAGGAGAAATATTACCACATAGCGTTTTCTACTCTCGTTCCTCTTCATTCCACGAATTTTTTTTATTTCCCCTGGCACATCCGTTCTCTCTTATGGGGTTGTCGGTTTAACGACAAGTGGTACGACTCGTTCGAAACGGAGACACGTCGGGCTTAGGATATTGGCAAGCTGGATTTCCGGTCGGAAGCCAATGAAATATGTCGGTTAATAAAGTTAAAGGTCGCGCGTAAATCGCGCCTCTCGATCGTGGCCAACTCAATCTTGCGGGAATTAAAAAGGCGAACCATGCCAGTTCCCTGACTCCACAGCGTGCAATTTTTCTGTCTGACCTTCTTCTTTTCCCGTTCAGCTTGAGCAAAAAACAAGAACAGTCGCGGATAGAACGCGACAGATCTGTACTACCCAAAAAACCTCTGTTGTGATTTTCCGCTGTTTCACATTCAGCTTTTTTCCTCCCGACGAGAAACGACAGCGAGAACGAGCGCAATCGAGACTGTACAGGTTTTTCGACTACGAGAAAATGTATCTAGCGGTTCTCGATGCTCATTCCGTCGGAATGTTACGTACGAGAACGAGGACTAATGGATTCCGAGGGTAGACGATAGTTCGTTATCGTACATCACTTCGGTTTTAACGATGATTAAAGCGGGAAACGTGGGAAGAAACGAAAATATTGGATGGCTGCTGTTTGTCTTGGTCAATTAAACGGTGAACCAACTGGCGATTTTTTTGTATCAGCTCCACCTTTGTGTCAGCTTTTGTGTTTCGCTGCGCTTAACTCGCTGCTACTTGTGCTTAATTCCAACGAAAACTGAACGAAACGACGATCGTTTCTGTCGTGGAAAATTTGACGGAAATACGTGTTCCTATGTACGAGATGGAAATAAACGACGAGCAATTTTTATCGGAATTTTTAATCTAGGTTACACCGTGTTTCTACATCCGACGTATTTTCCAGACTTGGCTTCAGCTGTGAGGTTTACTTATTCCGGTCTCTGCAACGTCATTTACGTGACACGTATTTTGAAACAATCGAGGAAGTGGAAAAACGCACGGGTGAATTCGAAACTGCGACATTTCTCTCGTGATGAAATTCGACAGCTGATCGAAGGGTGGACCGAAGTTACAGAAAACAACAGTTTACTTGTTCTATTATCAAAAATCTGAAATTTAGTCGATCCATGAATAATGTTCGAATATTTACTTATTCGAAAGTTCGCTAATCCACGAATAAAATTTTAATTTTACTTAAAAAGCCATCGAATTAATTTACACCAATTAATTTCCTTGATAATTAAATTACTATTTTCTTAAATTAAATTTTACTTCCGCGACCGAATTAACTCTGGCTTCTTACTTAAAGCCACCGAATTAATTTACACCAATTAATTTCCTTAAGAGTTAAATTATTACTTAAAATCGTTGGTTCCTGGCAATTTAATCGAATATTATGGGTGTGTAATGTGGAAAATAGAGTACGCCAATGGTTTAAGAGCAACTGTGCCTCGTCGGAAACGGTCGCGTGGTGTTTTTCTAAGCTCGTGTGTGGTCAGACGAAAAACAAGTCATCACTGGCGATGCGTAGACCAACGTGAATCACCGACTTTATTTTGCGTGAGAGTTTACTGGCAAGTATGTCGATGGTCCACGCGCCGCGTCACAATGGACGCTCTCGGTTTCATCGTTGGTGGCGGCGTGCAACTTACCGCGGGCCGTTTTCATCACGGAAATATCCGCGTGTCGCAACGAGAAGCTCCTCGTAATTACACGTCGCGTCGAAAATAAACGTTACGAGCTTTTTTCGCGGTCCATTTCAGCGCGTCGATCCTCTTGACCGATTATTAAAGGTGTAATTCACTTCTTTTTTCTTTTTGTCAAATTCAGAATTTATTTTTAAGAAAATTGTTGATTTATTCTTAATTGAGTCTACCAGTGCTACCTGTTGGATTATTTCTAACAACACCCTATGGAAATAATCAAGTGAGGACAAAAATGTCTCCGCGTTATTTTAAACAAACGCACTAAGACTTCCACCAGATGTGTCTGGTGCCCGTCCTCGAGTCACGCACTGCACAATGCGATACCATAAAGTGAACAGTTCCTAGGTATAAGGGGACTCCAACTTTCTTTTTGGATGCTCAGAAACAGTCCTTTAGAACATTCAATAGCGTAAAGACGTTGAGTCCGTCAATAAATAGCATACTACAAAGTTAAAAGACTATTTCTTTTTCATAACCCATTTCGAATATGACCTAACTCACAATTTTGGGTGAATCGAGATTTTAGCATAAACCACCTCACATTCAGGAAAACTTTAATTCTTTAGTGACTTAGGGATCTTTAAAAAAAAAAAATTACTTTTATAAAATCATCCATACGAAGAAATATTTTAAATAATTTAAATGATAATTTCATTGGCCATACTCTCGAAGCGAACTTTTTGGAGTTAGGCCACTATTGAGCTGATAGCCCCAATTTTTCTACAATTTCTTTTTTCTGTTTATCATCCAGTAACTTTGCAATTTTTTCGATGAATGTTTCAATTAATATTTGCATACATGATTTGACACGATGTTCTCATCGAGAAAAGGACTTATCGATCTGAATGCTTTCACAGCAATTTTCCCCTGTGACGTTCGTACGAAATGCAGTTGTTCACAGATATATACAATATCGATTGATTTTTTAGTTTAAAATCGATCATCTTGTATTCCGAATGAAGCTACAAGTTGTCGCTACCAAACAAAGAACCGACAGCAAGTGCATTTCAAATTTGTCCCACTTTTCTAATTAATTAAAAAAATAGTAGATACACCTAATAGATTGAAACGATTATTGAGAATGGTTATTGAGAATAATAATTCACCGGCGGATGAATATTTTCCATTGGACCACCAACGTAGAAAATTTGTTCTCCTCTGTGCTATTTTTCTTCTTAAGATAACAAGACTTTAGGCTGGATTCTTAACTTACTGCGTTTTAAAATCATAACTTTGCAACAAGACAGAACTCCCTTTCACGATATCTTCATAGATTACGCGATTCTAAACTCTCAAGCAGTA